TGTGGACACTAAATTCTTTGAGAACAAAGTATTTCAATAAATATTATTCACATAAAAATTCTATTTGAAATATCTTTAAAAATTTTAGTCACGGTCCAAATGTATTTTCTATCTTTGTTATCTATTGTAGATAGAATATTAGAAAATAAGTTATCAATGCTTATTCAGAAATTCTTTTTATTCAGATACCAAGTAACTTGAAATATAAAACAGTCTGATTTATTTTGTAGTATTACAAGGGAGAGATGACCAGAGGTACTACAAAATGTGCCTTCCGAATCATCAGAGCACAATTACACTGACCTCAGTAGTGTTTTAGTACTAAGGGTATTTTTTAATGAAAACTAAATCTCTGACAATTTGAAAGAGATGTAGTATCTCAAGAGCAATACTTAACTAACCAATCAAAACATTAAAATAGTAATACCGGATATACAGGGGGGAAAAAAACCACCACAGTTTAAAGAAGAGTATTCCTGGTTTTGAGGAAGTTGGCAAAGTGAATTGAAATACCAAAATAAATGAATTTATAAAGTATTAGTTTAGGAATATCTGTATGCCAGGCTTCAAAAAATAGTACCAAAAAAAAGTTGCTTTAAATGATTCCAAAATAGAGGGAGGCCTAGTTCTGACTCTATTTTGGAGTTATTTAACATTTTAAAATACAGTATGTAACTAGTGTTTGTTCTCGTTCTCGTTCTCTCTCTCTCTCTCTCTCTCTCTCTCTCACACACACACACACACACACACACACACACACGAAAGACATATCACTTGATATCTACCAGGTATGGGGTTCTTGTGGGTTTTGCAATTCTGTTTATGTAGCCAAGGAGTTCTTAGATAGATTTTTAGGATTCTCAATATATATATATATATATATCCAATAGAGGGGGGAGGGGTTTCCCCTCATGAAATGAACAAATTCTGGTTTGAGGACAATTTTTGAAATTCTTTATTCTCATTTTAACTTATTTTAAAAAATCCACTTTAGTATTAGTTAGAAAATTGTTACCCACCCAATCTTACATCACAATTCCAGAATAAAGACTTTTGTTCAGCAATAGCCTCACAATCAAATTTCACTTTCTTATTCCTTTCTTCAGGACTATAAAACACATTTCTAAAATGATGTTTCCAGGGAAGGAGAAGAAACTGAGTGGCAAAATGAAATGGTATTTTTAATTATGGCCCATAAGATACACTCTGACATTTAACTGGTTCAGGTTAAGACTACTATTAATTAATAGGAACCTTAGGTGACAAGCTTCCTAGGCTAGAAAGGAAGGCAGGAAACTCCTCCTCTTTTCCTTGACTGCAAGTATTTTAGTTTTGAAGTGTGAATTCCAGGCATTCCAAACCTTATATATAAAGAAACATTTAAAATGTAATTCTTCCTAAAAGGTTACACTTGTTTTCTGCTTAAACTTTTGGTTAAAATAAAAGGTAGCAGGTTGTAACACATTTTAACAATGCACACAAAGAAACCCATAAGGGCTAAATTAAACATAAAAGATGTATTGTCCTTTTTGGTTCTTAACATATACAGCCCCAAAATAGCAAACTCCTAGTTACTTTTTAAAGTAGATTAAAATCAAGATTAACAAAATATCCAAAGCATGTCAAATTCTAGCCTCTACTAGTTAAAGATTCTGTTGATTGTAAAACTCGGTTGGTGGCCATTTGGGCGTAGGATTTTTAATATAAATGAGACTAGAAATGACAGGGGATGGGGGAAGTGACTCTCCTTGAATAAAGAGAGAAAATTTTATCCAGAATGAGTTCTTTGAAAGATGAAATAAAATATTTAAAGTCAAGAAAGTCAAGCTTTCCCAAAATCTGAAAATATAACAGAAATTAAAATACAAGAACAGTGCTGTATTATTGAATATTTAAAACACTTTCTAAACATTTTTTGAAGGAGGTAAATACATAAACTATTTGGGAAATTTACTGCTAAATAAAAATCATATTTTTTTTCTTTTTCCCATGCAGCTCTCCAAATTGGTAATCTAAAGTCATTAAATTATATGACAGTGTTATAGCTATTAACATATATCAAGAAAACTGACATAGCCAAACAACACACACACACACACACACACACACACACACACACACACACACACACACATCCACATAGAGATATAGGCAGTGTTTCAGAGTTTTATTAGCATGTACTCCCTTTAGGATGATGGTCTTAGTTTTTATTAATGTAGTGAAGTCTAGTCAAGTTTGGTTAAAATGCTATTCCATTTAGATACAAGTTGTTAAGGAGGCTTTATTTGATTTCTCATGAAATTGCTGAAAATAGTGAACATGTCTCTTTTTCAATATTTTTCTTTTAGAATGCATGTTAAGAAATTTTTGATTTGGAACATTTCATAAGTCCACTTATACCAATGAACTTCACCACCTTTCTTATACAAGTTTGAAAAATAATACTGTGTTTAACATATAGGGGTGTTCTCCCCCTCCACCCCCCGCCCCCATAGTGATTCCTGGCTAGACCTTAAATTGCAGTTGCTAAATAAACTTTGGGTTGTATAAATGTCCTAGTTTTTCTGACTGGAAGGCAGATAAAAGCAACTGAAAAGTTCTCAAATGTAAACATTTCCAAACCGACTATACTAATCAATTTCTCCCCCCAAAAGCACAGTTCTTTTTGGGTGAGAATAGACAGTTTTTGGTTAAAAAAAGAAATTGATCAAAGATTAAATGTAGAAATTTCCAGGGTTTGTTTTTTTTTAAAATATGGAACACTTCACAAATTTGCGTGTCATCCTTGCGCAGGGGCCATGCTAATCTTCTCTGTATCGTTCCAATTTTAGTATATGTGCTGCCGAAGCAAGCACAGAAATTTCCAGAGTTTTAAGAAGGCTGGTTTAAATGAATATACAGTAGCAATTCTAACCAAGCTTCATTACTAGTTCACTGCTCTGATTTATGCCACATTCACATGTGAGGGCTACCATGGGTCAATAGATGGCAGTCCATCGCCTAGAAAAGAGCTGAAGATGACTAAACTCACCACGCATCTTGCTTTTATTCAAGATTAAATATTGCCTAATTGCACACATTTGGATATTGCCTATATACTTAATTATTTAAGTATTTTATTTTAGATGGATTGATATATATGTATACAGTTTATAAAAAACAAGTTTTGCATTTATACTTGCATAGTAAGCTAATTCCTAATTCCTAATTAACTTAAACTTGAAAATTATAACTGCGCTATTTACTACAACAATACTTTGAAAAATTAATCAGGATTCCAGATTGAGACAAACAAATTTTTCAAAAGTCTGTTATACCTATAGCTAGAATATAATTCCCCAGAAGGGAATTCATTTTGTTTTATTTATATTTTTCCTAACTATTCTTTTTATAATTTTTTAAAAGCTAAAAGGTTTATTCTATTAAATAAATCTTCAAATAATTCTGTTATACTACATACCAATTTCTATTCTTCTATGACAGTTACATAAAAGAATATAGGTGCTAATAATGAAAAGAGTGGCTTTAAAATAGTACTTTCCACACTTCACATTTTCCAGATTGGAATTCTCTAATTTAGGGGGAAAGGGAAAAGAAATACAATGTCAAATCCATTAGGCTACTACTTAATAAAAATATTGATTTAAAAAAAACTGCTATGCAAAAAGTGACTGTGATCTTAAAAGTATAATATATGACTGGATTCCAATCAAGTTTAGGCTATAAGGACTTCATCATAGTATGTCAGGATAAAAAAATTAATACATAAGGACAAACACAATGTATCCACTTAAGTTACATCTATGACATATATGTGTAACATATATGGGTGTGTGTATATATACATAGATGTATTTTTTGTTTGTTTGATTTTTGTTTAATACTAAAGATTTTAACAAACCCAATTTGGGATTGAGGGACAGTTGAGGAATTACAGCTTTCTACTGAGACTCTTTAATTGAAATTAAACAGTGATAAAAGAATGTGGAAACAAACTACCTGATATTATTATTCCTTGTTTCTTGGGCTTGTGATAGACATACTAGTAGTATGAGTCTACTTATGGGTTTACTTTTGATTTCCATAAGAGGAGAACAGTAAAAAGATATGTTTTGTAAACACTTTGCCCTTTCTATTTTTACTACCTGCCTTTCTATAGAGAGAACTTTTTAATACGTTAAACTTTAAGAAACAGTTTTTAATTACATTGTATAACTGTATAATTACAAGAGTAATTTGTATTGTTGTCTCTTGCTCAACGCAACATATTTAGTACAGTAAAAGAAATGACTAGTAGAGCTATGGCGAATTATTGAAATTATTTCAGCTAAATATTAGAAATAAACTGACTTCATAATATTGAATATTAGTCCATTGATTCCATAGCAAACTATGTTTTCTGCTTCCACTTAGCCTAAAATCACAATAAAAGGAAACCAGAGAATTGAATAACTTGAATGGTATCAAGCAGATATTTATATACTTTGAATAAGTCAAGAGGGCTTAAGGATATGAGGTGAATTGTTCTATATGAAAGGTACACTAAACTTTGTCTAGTTTTATTTAAAAATATATGTAAATATTTCAGTAAAGCCAGAAAAGTGATAGTGGAAGATAGGTGGACTGTATGCTTGTGGACTGTAGATAATATAACATTTTAAAGACACTAGATTACCGTTATTTTTTATGGCTCCTAGCATACTTTTCTCCCTTTAATTTAATGAACATAGTCTGGGAAGACGGAGAGATACCATGATGTAGTCATTAAATGATGTGAGTAATAAAAAAACAAGCACATCTTTTAAGAACAGGAAGATAAAGGATAGAGTAGTGGGCAGGGGAGAAGAGAAAAAGTATATTATTGCTCTCTCAGTGCAAAAACTCTTCAGATGTTTATTATCTTCCAGGGGAAGATGCTTGTCTATATTTTATGGTCAGCAGTTCAGAGAAGGGTAAATAGGCTAGGTCTTGGGGAAAATAAAAAAGGTGTTTCTACTCAC